CATAAGCAAAAAGAAAAAAGCCGGAAGTGGTGCTGTGGCTCAAGTGGTAGAGTGCTAGCCTTGAGCTGAAGAGCTGAGGGACAGTGCCCAGGCCCAGAGTCCAGGCCCCGCAACCGGACCCCCAAAAAAAAAAGTCTTGGGGATTTTGCTGCCCAGGCTGGCTTCAAAGTGCGATCCTCAGATCTCAGCCTCCTGAGGGGCAAGGATGGCAGGCATGAGCCACGGGCCTGGGCCTGGCTGACCTTTAGCTTCGGAGACCCATTTCCTTTCCCCAGGAAGGGGGGAAGGTAGGTGCACCAGTCAGTGTCCCCTGTTAGGCCTTGGAGGGACCCGTTGTGCCTGAGAACCTCACCCCAGGACCCTGCAGCCACGCTGTCTGCTTCCCCCTCTGCTGAGAAGACCCTGAGGAAATGTCAGCCTCCTTCCCACCACCACCAGGCATCCCTGGAGCCAGGGGCGGGACAGGTGGGGGTGTGGCAGGGCATGGCCTGGGGCGGGGGCGTGGCCTGGGGCGGGGCGGGGCCTGGGGTCTGCACTGCAGGCCGGAGGTGGCCGCTGCCGGGACTGGGGGCCACGTCTGGCTCCTGGCCTGCCAGCCCTCTCCTGACCCTCAAGTGGCCAGGTCCCACTCACAGGAGCGTCCCCTTGGTTTCAGACACCTGGCAGGGGTCAGGCTCTGTTTTGTTGCTGCCCCACCCCACCCCTCCATGCCCTCTCAACCCCAAGGGGTCCTGGGAGTTGAGAAGCCTTGGTCCCCTGCCCTTCCATCTCCGAGGCCCCAAGGCCTCCTCCTGGCCCCAGGGCACAGTCCTCCGGTGGGGTGGGGGAAGGAGGGCTCCCCCCTCTGCAGTTCTCATTGAAATTTTGCCCTTGCCCAAGAATCCTCGGCTGAGAGCTCATCCCTATTAATTCTCCTTGTGCATTTAGAGCCAGTGGGTTTTTATTTATTCATTTATCTTGTCTCTCGTCCCCCTCCCCCCTCCCCTTCCTCACCAGGCTGGAAGGCTCTCAGGTGGCCTTGTCCAAGGACAAGAGGCCTGGGGGAGAGGTCCGCACCCGGGATCTTAAGTGGGGGGCCCTCTGGTCCTCCTGAGGTTCCCACTCCGCCTGGCTGAGTGCTGTCCACGGAGGGTGTGTGAGCAGCGACCCTGGCCAGCGCAGAGCTAAGGGGCAGTGGGTGGTCTGCCACTAGTGCACCCCTGCTGGCTGGTGGGCCGCCTCTGCTCTGGCTGGAGTTTAAATCCCCTTTGTGCTCATCCATGGCAGCTGCCTAGAGGCTAGAAATGTGGGGTGCAGGGTCTTCTAGGCTGGGGAGAGGCTAAGAACTTTGAGGAATGAGAAAAGCTTGAAAACCAGCAGCAGTGCCCCATCATCATCATCACCACTACCACCACCAGTACATGTTGAATACCTGTGTGCCAATGGATACTAGGGCCCCCAGGGCTGGCTGCACCCTCCTACAGTATGTGCTGTTTTGCCAGACCAAGACATTGGGGCTCAGAGAGGGGAGCCCTTGCCCCCAAGGGGGTCAGTACTGGGCTGGCCACAGGTCAGCTCCTGACACGCCCTCCACGTCCAGTGACCTTGGCAGGATGAAGGCGACCTTTTCACGATCCCGAGAAGGGATCAGACCCAGACTGGGTGATGAGATGAGCCACACTTGGGCTCAGAGGAGTCAGGCAGTGTCAGGGCTGAAATCCAGACCAAATCCCCTGTCCCCGCTGGCCAGCCGGGGCAGCACCCATCCTCCGTGACTAACACAGAGCCCACGGCAGCCTGTCAGCAAGGATTTACATCCATCAAACAGGTGTCAGCACACGGAGGCTCAGCCACCCCACCACAGCACCGCTCCCTGCCTGCCTTCCTCACCCAGCTTCCAGAGAGGGAGAGCGGGGAGGAAGAGGGGCTTCTCCCAGACCCCAGACCACAGCTGGCATCAGGCACAGGGGGGGGTGTTTTGGGGTGTCTAGGGCGAAATGTGCCCAGAGCCCAGCTTTGGCCAGGAGAGGGCCTCATGTGCTGGTTAGTTCCGCTCCTCAGCACCCTCCTGCAAGCTGGTCCAAGGAGTTAGCACTCACCCCCCAGCCTGGGCACATTAGGAGAATGATTAATATTTAAGAGAAAAAAAATCCCGTGAGACGCTAGCACTGGAGGCCGACTGTGTGGAGCAGTCTGCACACACGGGCTAAGATGGGGGCTCAGAACCGGGCTCCCCTCATGTCTGGGGCCTGGCCTCCTTGTCCAACCGGAGCCAGCGTGTAACCCTCCGCTTCCAATGCAGAGATAGCTAGAGATTTACGCAGCCCTGGCTCCCGGCCCTGCCGCCGCCTCCTCCCTCCTCTCCTTCTTTTCTCTCCTCCCTCTCTCTCCTCCCCCTCCCTCCTCTCTCTCTCCTCTCTCAGCTGGCCATGGTCCAGCCACCACCCACAATGACAGGCTCATCCACTGACAAGCCCAAGTGGGAAGCTACCCTCCCAGGCTGGCTTCTCGGCGCTGTGACTGAAACCACCCCACGGGACTCAGACATCCTCGGGAGCCTGGGTGGTGACTCCAGGGTGGTGACACCGGGGTGGCCCTGCCTGGCAGCAACCCAAGGACACTCAGTGGCACCAGCCACTTGGATAGAGGCTGAGGCTGAGCCCTGGCTGCCCGCTCCCGCAGCCTGGCTGCTCTGCCAGCCTCTAGCGGCCCAGCTGCCCCAGCCAGGGGACTTTGGGGCCTGATGGTAAGCACAAATCCTATAGCTTCTCTGCTTTGTGCTGGGTGCCCCTGGGCCAGAGGCTTTCATGCCTGCTGCCTCAGTTTCCCCAACTGCAGTAGCGAAATGACAAAAGCAATCAGACTCTTAGTCCATACTTGCTCTGCACTCCACCCTGTTTTGAATACTTTAAATGTACCCTTGAGCCCCTGGCCCCCATACACAGTGTCACGTGACTCCCTCAGGCTGCCCACCTTTGGCCCATTTTGGCACAAAGACTGGGTCCCCATCTGAGCCTTGCACGTGGTTCTCTGGTCTGTTCACACATGCCCACGTCTTACCCCAACCCCCTCCCTCCCTGGGCCTGAGCAGCGGCAGCCGGGGAACTCACATGGGAGCAGAACCTCTCAGGAGGGTCTCCACAGGTGATGCCGGGGGGCTCCACCTTCACTTTGACGTAGTCCTTCAGCCGCATCACCTTGGGCTGGCAGGCATAGAATTCCCAGGTTGGGCCTTCATCTGTGGTCACCCAGGATTTGCAGATGTTGTAGTCCCCAGAGGCCAGCAGGAGGCAGTGCAGAAGAAAGATCAGCAGGTGCAGCATGGCTGCCCAGTCCACAGGGGTGTGGCCCAAAGAGGACCAGGACAGGGAGCGGCAGGGTCAGGGGGGACTCGAGGCCTCAGCATGGAAGCGCCACATCTACCAGGCAATGGTAGCTGGGATGTCCCAGAGACTCAAGACTGCAGGTCTGCAGTGAGCAACTTGTACGCGTGTGCGTGTGTGTGTGTGTGTGTGTGTTTTCCAAACAGCTGATACAGAAAACACAGAGCCAGCGTTTCTCAGATTGCTGATGGGCAGATCAAAAAGTTGCCTGTAACTTTTTGTCCTCTTAACCTTGGCAGTCCACCTCCCCCGGAGGTGAAGCTGATCAGATCGAGCCGACGCTCAGATTGTGACCATGAAGGGAAACGGGATACGGGACAAGGAGCAAATCCACAGGGATCCGGCGTGGGGCTGGATCAGATTGCTTTTAATTTTTGTCCTTCCGATCAATCCAGATCTTTAAAGGGCCCTCGCGTGATGTGCTCAACACAAGTGTTCGACAGCCCCTCCGGCCTGCACTGCAAAGATAAAATAAAATCAGTCAGTGACCAGGGTACTTAGGAACATGTTCTCTCTTTGGGGACCAGTCTTGGGATCTCAGACCAATAAAAGAGATTTCTTTTCATATGGGTCACAAGTGACAATAGTTTGATGTGACTGCAAATAAAAAGGAGGAAAAAAAAGCCACTGTGTTTAACTGGGGAGGTTATTTGGCTCTGCTTGGGGGGAGACAGGCGATCATGGGGGCAGCTGACCCTGGCTGGCGATCATCAGCAACTTGTTAGGAAGTTTCTGAGATGCCAGCTTCCCATCCATCTGGGTACTGGATCTCACTTGACTTTCATTATAAGAGGTGGGGGGGGGGTAGGAGAGAGGAGGGTGGGAGAGAAAGAAAAAAGAGAGCGCTCATTAGCAACAACACCTGCAACAAATCAAAAGGAGGAAGATTAGAGATGTATAAGAACAAAAGCTCTCTGGCAAAATGTGCAAAAAATAAAATAAATAAAGAGGCTGCATTAGCAAGGTCTCCCGAGAAACCTGGGTTATTTTTATTAATATCAGTGTTGTGCATTTGGAAATCAGATGCGTTATTAAAAGCGCGTTGCCTCCTCCTGATTGACAAGGTGTTAATTCGGCAGAAGGGCCCTTGCTCTAAGGTCAGGAACTTTCTAAAACATCCCCAGGAGTCAAGGGTTAATGGTTACATGGAAACATCAGGCTCAAGTCCAAACTTCGGAGTTGCTAAAGCAGCTGATGAGAGCCAGGTAAATGGAGCCCACGCCCACAGGTGCAGACCACCAAGGAGGGCGCCTGGGAGCCCCAACACGGCTCTGATGGCAGGCATAACCTGCAATAGTAATTTTAATGTGGGTAGTTGTTTTTTTTTTGGGGGGGTGAATGTCATGGGGCTTGAACTTGGGGCCTAGGTGGTATCCCTGAGCATTTTCTTTTTTCTCAAGGCTAGTTCACTACCACTTGAACTACAGCTCCACTTCCAGTTTTCTTTGGTAGTTAACTGGAGATAAGAGTCTCTTTCTTGCCCTGGCTGGCTTTGATCTTCAGCTCTTAGTCTTCTGAATAGCTAGGATTATAGGCATGAGCCACTAATGCCTAGATTAACTTTTTCTTTTTAACAGTAAAAAGAAGAAGAAAGAAAAAGAAAAGACAAAACAGTTCCTGGGAAAGATGTCCACAGAAATGAAAATGTTTTGTCCACAGAAATGAAAACATGTTGTCCTGTCAAGAGTTTCTGATCAAAGCCAGCATTTTGCAGAGTACGTCTAAAAATGAATCAATGTGATTATTGCTTATTGCTGTGGTCATTATTTACAAGCTAACATAGATAAACTAATAGATAAAATCGATGAAATGAATGCAGATCCATGAGTCGTACAGTGTGTGGTACATCACCAACCAAATCATCCCAAATGGGATCCTGCCAAAAATGCCAGCCAGTGGGGCAAAGACGGGAAACTAGTCACACCTAAAACACCTGTGCTAGAGCTGAGCCTGGGCTCCAGGGTAGAGCACTTGCCTAGCAAGAACTAAGGCCGAGTTCAAAGCCCCAGTGCACCACACACACAGCCTGTATTATTAATTATTCTGGTTATTATGCCCACGGTGGTAGCATTTAAACCCACAACCATACACAGAAGCTGGACTCTCACCTGACAGCTCTCCCAAAGGTTCCGGAAGGTTTCGGTCCAGGTTTGAACGAAACCCCATTCACCACCCAGAAGCAAACATGGCCCTGGCCAGGCATGACAAGCCGGGGAGAGGCGTGGACGCTGCCATCCTGTGGCTGGTGGTGAGCTCAGGGAGAACCCCCCCCCCCAGCGGGTCTGGGGAGAGGGGGAGAGCCACCACCATCTGCTCAGGCCCAGCATGGAACCCATCGATCACCTCGGGGCGCCCTGCCCCCCTTTCTGAATGAAGGGCCTCTTAATGCAGATGAATGAGGCCAGCCCGGCTCTCATTTTCACATCTCACCTCTGGTTGTTTAAAAAGAAACCTGTTATAGAACCCGCCCGGCCTTCAACGTGTTCCTTGCTAGAAAACTTGCTAGAGAGAACGTGCCCAGCGTCTATTTTTACAACCCGAGGAAAATGTAGTAAAAATAAAATAGCAGGCGGGCAAAGGTTTGGAGGCTGCTACCCAGGCACAGAGCTGCCCAGAACACAGCATGCCCCTAATTAATCCTCCCAGCAGCCGGCTCCCGACCGCTCCCTAACAGGTAGGGAGCTCCCGGCGGCTGCGGCCTGCGAGCAAGGCCGGGACGGGGGCTGCGTCTGCAGGACGGGCTTGCCCGGGCTAGGAGGAGGCTGGACCGGTGGACCGGGGGATCCGGGAGGCCCGAGGCCCGAGGCCCAGGCCGCAGCGGGGAGTCCAACTCTCCGGTCTGTGCGTGGCTTTGTAGCTCTACTGGAAAATGGGATGCGGTGACAACAACCCGCCAGGGAAGTCCAGCGGCTGGGCGTTGCGAGCCAGGGCCTGAACATGACAGTGTTTTTCTGCCAAGGAGGAGGAAGCAAGGAAGAAGAGAGGGGCGCGGGGAGGGGACGGGGGCGGCCCCGGCGCGGCCCGAGAGGCGAGGTCCGGCGGGCGAGGCTGCGTCCCGCGCCGTCCGCCGCCCGGAACGAGAACCCGCACCTGCGTCGTTAACGGACGAACGCCGCCAACGCGCCCCGTGCCCCCCAGGGGTCCTCGGGGCCGAGAGCCAGGCTGTTCAAACCCGAACGTTACATTTCCTCAGGATTTCCGAACTCTGATGCTCTCGTCTTATTGAATTAGCGGCTCCCGGAGCTGCCCGGGCTCGGCGCGCGGCGCCCCGGCCCCGCGGTGGGCATGGG